CAGGCACTGATCGTTTAGGTACACCCTAAACCCTAAACTGTGGAGCCCTAAACTCACGAACCTAGCTAAGTTTACAGCCCGAAGTCCTCACGGCATCAAGGCAACTGATCTGGAGGGAAAGGTCTGAGACAGAACTTATCCCAAGAAGCACTGAGGTAATGAATAGGGGCCTCAACAGACAGAAAAGGGTTTTGGAATATGTTCTACTACAGCCATAGACGGCAACTTTAAGAACTACAGGAAGCTGATTTAAAAGCCTCAGGTTTTCGACAAAAAACACCCACCTTAAGAATCCCAATTAGAGCCAGAGGTAACTTAATCAGGCTTCTACAGCAGGAACCTCAGTCAGCAGAAATACCAATCCATAACGATACCTCTTCTATGTGCAACGAAGCAAGGAAGCGACAGATGGGGATAATCCGAACGCATCCAACAGAAGTCGCGCACCCTTCCTCAGGCCGAACAAACCCGTCACCACACCGAAGTACTATACGGGCAAAACAACTATCAATACTATTCTGGTGGTTCCTTAGTATAGTTAGAGTATAAGATACCCCCAAAACCCTGTTTCTAGCTATGAAGGCCCTATTTTATCAACAAACGCTAAGCCCTTATCCCAAAAGAATGCGACGAAAATCTCCCTGACCGCTCGGTGGCTGGTTATAAGGGTTCCTTTAAGGGTGCCTTTAAAGGGATCTATAGGGATTCTATAAGGGTATAGGGCTTACGGCCTACTTGGAGGTTCATAGGTCGCTATAAGTGGGGCTAGAAGTCCCGTCATATGGGCTATAACTCTAAATCCGAGCAGCCCAGAACCCAACAAGGCCCAACAAAAAGCACAACTAACCTAACACAGCCAAACGCCTGTAAACCCAAAAGCCCTAAACAGCCTCACATCCCAAAGCCCGAAACCCACAACAGGGGGCCCCGTGGCCCAAGATCTCGGCACGCGGCCGATTGGGTCGTATCTGCAGACCGTAGACCTCAGAAGCTTGGCTTTTGAAGGTGTTATGGTGTAGCGGTACAAAGGAAAAAGAGTCTCATCTGCTAGGGTGGGAGTTTTAGGTTAGGGTCGAGGACTGCGGGGCCTTGCAGGGTTCAACGTGATACTTTGAGGATGAAAGGGCATGGTAATTTATTTCCCCTACCTGCAATGTCCGCGCGATACGTGGGAGAATTGTGGCCGCCATTCTGGGTTTACATACTTAGCCCCCGTGACTTTCCAGGTGTGCCCTTAGCTGTTATTTGATTATTTATAAACATAACAATTATAATTTAATAAATAAAAAATTTAAAGCTCTAGGCCCTGAGTCTGGGCTGCTCGCAACAAGCTGCAGAAGATGTTGGCGGTGTGGCAGACCTTGCGGCGAGAAATGGGCAGGCAGCAGTGTTTCAAGCCGTACAGGATTAGCAGCCTGGGAGCTTTACAACCTGATATATAGTGGACGAAATACCAAGAAACATGATACTTTTCTTGAGTGCTGACTGTCACTAACATACTAGTAGTGTAAAGCCGCCAAAGACCTACACTCTTAAAGCCCTCGTATGAGCTGTCAAGCCTATGCTTCGGGTATAAGCACCAAACCCTGAACGCTAAACCCAGACCCAAAGACTAATGAAGAGGTCGAAACAAATAGTAGAAGTGCTCCTATGTAGTCCATGAAGAAATATGCACCAACACACTTAGTTTATTAACTCTTGCGGATGTGTTGCATCAAGTGTGCTCGAGACGGCTGGGGAGAGTTCAGGTCCAGCGGCTGAAAGTAGGGGCCTGCATATAATAACTCAATTCTATATAAAATAAAAACAATAAAATACAATACAACATCATAGTACAGTTCTATGAAGGACTATACAGGCAGACGCTTACAGTGTTCCGGCACCTACACAATGTTGCTTCGTGACGGACTGAAAACATGTACCCTTGCAATTCCTTTATATGGTTGTACAATAGAACCCCAAAGCCCTATGTTAATTGCAACGAAGCACCTCACCGCTGACAAAGCGACGCAGCCACTGCGGGGGCGACTCCTCTGCAGGATCAGGTGTGGGCTTAGACCCCAAGCTTCATGCTTGGGTAATGTCGGGGCATGTCGGGGTGTTAACCTGTGGAATAGAGGGGTGTAGCCAAGTATTGTCATATGGGGACTACAAGGGGATATTGTTGCTGATTATGGAGACCGCGGCATTAAGTGCTTTCATGATCAAGCGTCTTACCGTCTGAAGGTAAGGTAATCTGCGGTGTCCCCGCCGTCATACACTGCATATTGCTGCTTCCCCATCGAGCCTACAAGGGCAAAGGCGGCTTGGTCAATCCATCACCTCAAACTCCTAAACTTCGCCAGCCCCTGATTTGAGGCAAAATCTCTGACTGCCTTTTTCTCGCTTGAGGGCTCAGGCTATCGACGGTGGTGTCGCCACACTGCCAGCAGCACCACCTCAAGATGAGAAGATCCTCTCCTAATATGGGGGCTAGAGTCCTGTAGTTCAGGGGCTTTGTAGCTTCGTTTCGTTGGAACCCTGTGTGCATGCGACTTCTTCGTGCTCACTGTGCCGCCGTCTCAAGATTAGGCTCTCACAAAGGTGTGTAGATTGGGATGTAAGGTTTGCAAACCCAGATTCCCGAACGAGGATTGACAGAAGGAACAGTGAGAATAAGAAAGTTGAGGCCAGAGACGGAGATGAAGTAAATGGTTAGAGGCTATGAAGCAGGGTTTTGATTGCAAGCATGCCCAAAGGGAAAGCCACGTACCGTAAACCCCTAAACCCTAAACCCTGCACCCCTAAACTTACCTTGGTTAGTAGGTAATGGAAGAATGGAAGTAATAGTACTTGTAATTGTACCCCATTCCTCCATTCCCTGCTAACCAAAGGTAAATAAACTCTAAACCCCTAAACACAAAAACCCTAAACCCCTCAACCCTGAACCCCTAAACCCTAAACACCAAAACCCTAAACCCCTCAACCCTAAATCCCTAAACTCCCTGCTGTTCTCAGGCCGAAACTGCCGCGAGCCCGGCCACAGCCACGGCGACGCTCCCCCGAGGCTTCGGTGCACTGCAGAGAGGAGCCTGGCTCTTCTGCATTTTTTTTTTTTAAATGCTCTTTTGATAGACTTTATATGTAACTGTTTTCTCTTTCAGACTCTCTTTTGTATTTGTTTTTTCAAAAAGCTCTCAAGGGTTTTTATGTACGTTGTTCTAAAAACGGCGCTTATGTGTTGCTTAAATGGTCCTTAAGGGCTCCTATATACTTCTTTTTTTACAGCTGGCATTACAGACTTTTAGAGGGCTCTCAAGGGCTCTTTAAGATCTTTGTTAAAGGCTCTCAAGAGCCCTTACAGGTGTTCAAGCCCAAAAAAAGGTTGCGACCCGATATAGAAGCCGCGTAGAAACCCTTCAGAACTTCGAAAAGTCCTGATAGGAAACACCCATAACTATGGTAATGGTAACAAAGGTAGTAACGATAAATATAAATGATGATAGTGTACACTAAGAGCAAGACTAATGATTCCACCATGCGCCGACTCGCAGGAGAGCAGCTTTCTGCGGGTCAATCGATGCACATCCAATGTGAACGCCTCTACTGAGCATCTTGGTCCAAATCCACGGTTATTGAAGCAGTCGGCTATGCCATGAGATGACACGAGCTTTTCAGCAACCGGGGTAAGAACCTGGGGTATGAGGGTAGTCAACAGATCAGCATGCACACTTTGGTCGGCTGCCTACGAGGCTCTGCTGACAACCATCTGCACAATCCTGGATTTGGACTGGAGGTGATGACCCTGAGGCCCTAAGATCTATCCTAGGGGCGTGATTTTTTTAGAATAGGGTTTTCGGGTATACTATACTATAACAAAAATAGGGACCCCCCACCATAATATTGGTAATCATTTAAGCCCTAAGTCCTAAGTTCACGGCACAGTTTGCGGCTCTTGCACGCGTACGTTGTCACCACTAGTTGAACTTGGAGGCGTACCATAGCGAAATAATTACCAATACTATTTTGGGGGGGTTCCTTATCATATCTATAGTATAAGGGGCCCGAGACCATATTCTTTTTTTTCAGGCCCTTGTATTAGTCTCGACTGCGAAAGGGAACATCAAGGGAGCTGAAGAGAAGGGCCTCGAAGCCTGGCGACCCTGTAAGATTTTGTATTCATGACCGCCAGCTGCTGCTACTTAGACCCCCGATGAAGCACAAGCTTTAGCACAACGAAGGACATTGAGATACGAGATACTTGAGATGCCAGAGATCTTATTACAAGGATTTTTGCATTCAGGCCCCTCATCCTAAACCCCAATCTAAACCCAAAACCCTCCCAAACCCTCTGGGTCTCTTGCTTGTGCTCCTATGCCCTACATCTCCGAAGCTCTACACATGATTCTACCATTTCGTTTTTCCTCAGCATCCTTAGTACTCTTTCTGGGATGACAGGACCTTCAAAAAGAACGGCTTAGAACGTCCTTACAATCCTGAACCCTGATAGAGCCCTGTCAAAAGCCTTATACCAACCTAATTCCTTATGTGCGGGGATAAGGTTTAGGGCGCTTGGCTCCAATATCAGAAGCAGTGCGAAAGTTGCTGGAAGCCAAAAATCCTTGGGCTGGGTCCGCTAATGGGTCGACTCGATAGAACGACGCGAATAGAGGGGCCTGAATGTTCTGATAGTAAACCATCAACAGAACTATCCGTTCGGGATCCTGATTCTCATGATAGTCGAGTATGCGTCGAAATCTTTTTTTAAGCATTCAGGCCCCGACATTAATGGTGTAGTGGTGCCACAGGGCTCTTAGAGCCACCCGCACCTAGCTAGGCAGTATTCGGCCAGCACGCGTGTGGTAGCTGGCCATGCGCGTGGCACTCGGAGAAGCACGTTTTGGGGTGCATAGGGCGTAGGATGTGTTTAGGGCTTTTGGGTTTGAGTGTCGGGCTTAAGGTTTGTGGTTCAATGCCGCTACAAAGCAGCGCCCGCACATAGTGCTTCTTAGGCGGTGCTCTCAGATAGCCTCAAGCGGGTTCATGTACATCCTGCTCATGGCCTTGCGGCGATGCCAGGCAAGAGGGCCTTGATAACTGTATTAGGGTTCCCTTAAGAGCCTTACGATACAAGCATAATATGGCCCTTTAAGGGAATAATGCTGGTAGACATTCAGGCCTCTATGACATCATCCGCTTTGAGGTTCAAGGCTGGGGATTTCACGTTTTGGTCTTCGAGGGTCTTGGCATCAAGGAGTTTGGGATGGCACGTACCCTGAGTCCTCCACCCTTTCATCTTAGGCTGCAATCGAGTTCTACAACAGCAACCCACACCCCCAGGAGGATCCAAAAAGTAGATCCCTTACAGGTTCCCATAAAGTACCCTTAGCAGTTTTGGGCCCCAAATTAGGGGATCTACTTTCTAGATCCTCCCTGCGGTCTGGGAACTGATGTATCGCGAAGCACTACCTGCAGGTTACGGTTGTAAGGAACAGGTTTCCACAGCTCACAAGGGCTAGTAGGATTGTTTTGAGGTCTAATGGTAATAGCAACTTTAATGGCAATAGAATAGCAATGCAAATGGCAATAGTACCTGAGATTTTGTAGAATAATCCTTTGGCTCAGAATATCCAGGGAGATGTGTCCCAGCAACCCTCGGCCGCGTTCGGCCTCAGCGCCCGAGCACGCAGGTGGCGTAGGAGGCCTGGAAAGCCAGAGAGAACACGACCTCGTCATGAAAGCATCTACTGGAAATCAGAACTTCGAAGAACGCCATGATATAAGGTACATTCCTTGATCAAGGGGTGGTGGGCTCGTCACACATGATGGTTGCCGCAGCGATTCTCGTGCTTTTCTGTCATTCAATTGGCAATCTGTTTTTCAGCCGCCATGTCCAGAAATTTTTCGATTGCCAAACTTGCGCTAACAAGCTGCAAAGTTTCCCGAAGGTTTGGCTGTTGAAACAGAGTTGGCTGGTGCCCTGCCTGGCTGCTGGCCCCGGGACAACGCCATCCGGGGGCTCTGCATCCAAAAAGGCACCATTCCTGCGACAGCTAGGAGGCTTGGCTGCGTGTTGAAGGTTGTTGGAAGATCTCCGTAAGTCTTTTCGAGCTTCTCATACCAATGTTGTCGGGGCAGCTCGTCCTCCTCCTCCTTCTCCTACTGCTGCTGCTGCTGCCGCTACTACTGCTACTGCTTACGACGACGACTAGGACCACTACTACGACTACTGCATCGACGACGACGGCTACAACTGCTTGCTGCCATTGCTACTCAATTTGCTCCTGCTGCAGCTGCTGAAAAAGCTCTTCTAACTTCAAAGGCCGGTGGTGCAGTACCGGCGCTGTCACATCAAAACAATGCAGCAGCAGAACCAGCCTGGTGAACGACTCTAGACACACATGAAGCATGCTCAAGATGGAATCCTTCTATCAGGGGTGGTTGTCAAAATTAGGGTCCCTTTTCGGGTCCTTAATATAATACGGCACCTGTTTAGGGTACCCAAAAACGGACGATATTATTGACAACCACCCATCACAAAAACGAAAGAGGACTCCTTCTCCTTCGAAGGGGATCCTGCTAGCAACGAGGCACATGCAAAGCTGGCTGCTCTCATTGTCAACGGGCTGGAGCACCTGGCTCCGTTGCGTCCGTCCACCCACAGCAAGCACATTAGGGAGGGCATCGTCTTGCGGTCATACACTCACAGATTATGCAAGTGAGTTGGCCGTGAAGGGTGAAGCGGCGACCATATGCCAGCTGCCTCGCACGTCTGGCACTGGGGTTCGCAAAAAAAGATGCCGAGACATCGAGGAAGCCGGAGAAGACTGAAATCGCATGACACTGCAAGCGTCTGCAGTATGCAATCAACGACAGCTTGTTTATTGCTTGAACCACCGCGCCAGCTGCCACAAATCTCTGGTCTTGGACATAAAACCTCACAGAAGGGATCCTGACCTGAGGAGGTAGAAGAGCAGTCCTTCACACTAGACGCGTCCTACTAGACAATGAGTACTTACACGTCTTGACAGTGACTTGACAGGTTTAAACCGGAACGGCCTGCCCTCCTTTGCACGCATGCGGTCGCAGGACCGTCAACCCCCAGCAAGCACATTAGCGCATCGTCTTGCCGTCATACACTGACAGATTACGCCAGTGAGTTGCCCGTGAAGGGTGAAGCTCGCCGCGCAAGCGACGACCTTGTGCGAGTTGCCCCGCACCAGGCCAGCGGTGCGATGGCTCGCGCGTCTGTCTGACAACGTTGCCGGTGTCCAGACGGCGGCGAGCCATTGGGTAAGGCGAAGAAGACTGCCATCATACGACAGAGTGCACCGTTGGCATGGCCGAACAGCAACACGTATATGCTTGGACCACAGCGAAATCTTAGAACTATAGCCCGATAAAGAGGCTTCCTCAGAAAGGGACGGAACAGTTTCTACCCGCAAGCGTGAAAGTCCTGCACTCGTTTCTACAAACTGCTTCTCACCGAGAAACCACCCGTTGCCGTGTTACATGAATTACTATTCGTATTAGGTATCAGGATTATAGCATTAGTGTTAGTATACTACGGTTGATGATATAAATCCTACATGACCTTAAGGACCCTAAACTATGGGAATTATGCGTATATTCCTTATTATGGGTAATGCAGGATTTATATCCGTAAACCCTAAACCCTAAAACCCCTATAGATCCCTTAAAGGTACCCTTATAGATCCCTTTAAAGGAACCCTAGGATTTCTATCATCAACAGTAGCATTGAGCCGATGCCGGAGATCGGATGCTGCCTGCATTCCACGGCTGGTGCAACGGCGACCTCGGACGGCAGGGACAACAGTTTAGGGTTTATGGTCCTAAACCCTAAACCCTCAAGTTTCTGTAGGGGCCCAAAAAAGCACATAAGCATAAATTAGGATAGGGGTACCCCATATAACCCCCCTTTATAATGAAGCCCAATAAGGTAGGGATATCCCTATAACATGCTTATGCTTATGTGCCTTAAACCCTAAACCCTAATCCCTGAACCCTAATTCTGAGCACTTTTTGCTGATGTCGGAGCCTACGTCTCGCTGAGCTTATCAGGGCACCGCCCAGTCCAGGTGTCTCGTATAGGGGCCTTAATAATTAGAATAAGGTTTTGGGGTCCACTATACTATAATTATAATAAAGAACCACCACAATATTAAGGCCCCTACTACGATTGAGGTTTAAGGGTTGAGGGGTTAGGAAGTAAAGTCCCCTACCCCCCTCCCCCCTACCCCCAAAGGGTCGCTATGACTGAATAAGGAGTACATCTCACATCCGAGAGGCATCCTTCCTATGGTCGAAGTTGTCTTCTTGAATTAAGCGCCGTTGCCGGGGGGTTATAACCCCCGCACCCTAGAGCCCTAAATCCCCCAAACTCAAGGACCCCAAGCTCCACCATACAAGCCTAAGATATACCCCCCTTCCCCTTGGAACCATTATAAACATGATTTTTTGTTACATTTTCTTGGGTTTTCTGTGAACAAGAATCAAAAGCCAGTCCTAGGGAGACTAAAGTAAAGACCCTAAGGGTGCCCCCCCGAGAGCCCCTGCCTGGCTTGGCCGCAGCATCTCCGCAAGACCCAGCCGCTCCAGCAAAGGCTTGCCTAAAAGGGTTTGGATTTGGGGTTTACCGTAGGGTTTGGGGTGTAGGGTGTAGGATTTGGGGTGTAGGATTTAGGGTTTTTGGGTCTTCGGTTTGTTTAGGATTTAGGATTTAGGTTTTGAGGTTTTGGATTTCTTCAGCTTTGCTCCTTCAAGGGTTCCGCATTGGCTATAATATAAGGGTTGGATAAGGGTTCAAGAGTGGTTTCGCTTAATATAGAAACTAACTGGAATTGGGTCCCTGTAAGTGGTCTTCTTCGCAATGGTTGTATCATATCGGGTTACTGTAGGGCTTCTGTAAGGCTTCTATGATTTGGTTCTATGACTTGGACTCGGCCGCCTTAATGATTAGAGCAGGTCGTTGGGTATATTGTACTAAAATAGTTGAAGCTAAGGTTTAGGGTGTAGGGTGTGCGGTTCTGCAGGCGATTTGATTTCTGCCATGCCTGCTACGAAGTCCAAAGAATTCTGCGGTTGCCTATGCTGTATGGAAAAATCTCCAATTTCTGGTGGAAACACCCCTCAGAAAACTTGGTAAACTCTGGAGACATTCCTTATACAAGCTATAGAGACTCTTGAAGCACCATGTGCAAAACCTATACAAGCTCTGCGCGCACCCCTTGTAAAGCCTACAGAAACTCTGGAGGCACCTACTAAACCCAGAGAAACTCCGAAAGACCCCTCACCGAACAAGCAGAAACTCTGGATCCATCCCTTCTAAAACCCAAAAGAAGTCCATCGGATTCGATCCCAAGAGCAGGCCACCAGGGAGTGGTTCAAGCTCTCGATCCTGGGGTTTAGGGTTTAGCTCTCGATCCTGGGTTGCTTTAACATCTTGCGGGCTTCACAGAGAGGACGTGAATACTTAGAATAGGATTTTGGAGTGCATTGTAGCATGTAGGGGGCTATAGTTGCATAGTCATACTATCTACTCAGGCTTCCAGGTTTGGTTTGAAAGGTTTACGAGAAGAGAATCTTAGACAGCTTAAACCACATGAATCAGGATCTTCTTAAGGGCTTATGGGGCTTGAAGGGGCTGAATGGTGCTTTCAACAGGATCTTAAATGCATAAACCATAAACTTCTTTTGGGCTTGCGGGGTTTATGGGCTCCGCAAGGGATCTAATCAGGATTCGAAGGGATAGTGTAGGCTTTGGTGTTCAAGGGTGCAGGGTTCAAGTTGTCGGTGTGTGGTTCCACAGGGATCGTTTTCGGAACAAAAAAACACGGATCTTATGCGGATGTGTAAGGGCTGTATAGGGAGTGTCATAACAGCTTAATGTGGAGCTAGGAAACCATAACGGCTACAACGGGGCTTTGGAGTGTAGAGGTTTAGGATTGAATGTTCAGGGACCGGCAGCCGTTGGATTCTTCAGGGTCCAGCCTAACCCTGATCCTGACCAGGTGGAGGCCCCAATAGAAGGGAACATTCGAGCAGAGGTTTGCGAGCTTAGGGGTCTGGGTCCATGGGATGGCTTTGAGCAGCTCTTTGGATTTGGATCCCGTGTGGTAGACTCAACACAGGCATCGACTACTGCACGAACTCAGAATTTTTCTGGAAAGCGCCCAAGAGTCAAAGGGTCCATGTGCTCATCCAGCTTGTCTGCGATCTGGTGCCGCGCGGCTTGGGCTTGGGCGGGTTCTTCGAGCGAAGTGAAGGACGCGCGGATATTCGGCAGACAATTGAAATCCTAGACCCGCCCCTGAAAAAACACCGTACCCAATTCCCTAAACTTGCAACTTAGCCAATTGACAGCTTGAGGCTTTATAGTTCACAGAATCTTGGGGTTGCTTCTTACGCACTGTGCCATACTGTACACCAAACTGCAGTTCTTATTGACAGGGCCCTCATGATGACCTTCAGAGGTTGGAGGCATGAGCGCGAGCACCGGCTTCGAGGGCACTGGAAAGGAAAGCGGGTTCTATGAGGGTTCTTTTCGGGATTCCTACTAGGTTCTACGAGGGCTCTCTGAGGGTTTCTGTGAGGGTTCATGGTTCTATGAAAGTTCAAAGTTCCTTTCGGGATTCTTACAAGGTCTATGAAGGCTCTTCTGGGGCTCTCTGAGGGTTTCCGTTAAGGGTTCATGCTGCCTTCCCGGGGCTATTGGATACGCGGCTATGTTTTGAACATCTCACATCGGCGGGAGGGTGCGCTAAACACCTGGCCTTCTCGCACGCATAGCTCTTCAGCACGTCTGCGAAGAGGTAGGTCAATGCGTTGACCATTGCAGACACGCCCCAGTCCTGGTAAGTGTTTCAGTGGCAGAAGTGTCAAATAGAAGAGCTTTGAACTAAGTCCACCAAACACATGTGAAGCATGAAGGGGTGATCTAGACCTTCCGATGGATGCATAACAAAGGTACTATCCAAAGCAAAGCTCAGGCACCATGTCCTCATGTGACATTCTGTGAGGTAATCAGCCTATCCTGTCTTCACAGCGCAAAAAATCCTATCAATGTCAGTTGGAGGCGAAGCATGAAGGAGTTTAATTGTAGGACACAGAAAGGCCAAAAGGTTGCCTACTCTACGACTAAGAACCACATGAGTTTCGAGCACCATAGAGACCTGCAGCTGCTTGCCAGTCTTGATGCTTCTAAAACACCTACACCGACTTCTATTTTCAGTTGCATGTCAACCATTCCCACTACCACCACCGCCACCGCCAGCACGCAAGTATTACGGCGACGACTACAACGACAACAAACCAGCTACTTCTACGACTTCTGCTGCTGCTACTACTACTTCTTCCTAGCACCAGCACCACTACTGCCAGCAACAGGAGGATTTGACATCTTGCCGAGCTTCTGTCTCGTGCACATAGAGGTTTAAGCTCTCCTTGCAAGAGACGCTCTTTGGGCTTAGGCTTTGTGGGTTATAGGCTTTCGGGTTTAACGTTATGGGTCTGGGGTTTATGGTTTGTGGCTTATGGGTTTAGGGGTTTGAGGTCATGGGTTCGGGATTGGGCTTGTCAACTGCGTACAGTGTCTGCAACATTATTCCTATTCCAGACCTTGAAGCTGCAGGAAGCCAACACGGGCTGAGCCTGATAACGGCCTTTTGGTCATGGGGGTTTGACGAAGTGTTGGGGTTATTCAAAGCTGGGAACAATTCAAGTTGCCTGCTTTCAAGTCATGTTGTGGTACAAACAAACCCATAGAAAGCGCACTTCGCCCAAATCTCCTTTCTGCAATGGGAACCTCAAATGTAACACAACTTGGAGCGAGCCTTGCACGGCTGTGCAGCGTTGGATCCACTCATGACTGAGGATGTGCATTTATGGTCGACTTTGTCAGGATTTACGATGCTGCGGGATTTCAGGCTTTGCTGGAGAGGTGCTGGTACCATCACTAGGCTTGAGAACTCCGGATTGCATCAAGCTCAAACGTCTTCGACAAGGTCCCCGATTCCCAACTGCACTTGCGACTGTCCATCAAGTGGAGTTTGTCGTGCTTGAATCTCAGATGTTCCAGGGACTGTGTCCGGAAGCCTCCCCCAAAAAAGCCAGCTTCAGAGGCGGTGAACATTAGAGTCCAGACTTACTATAGGGGCCTTAGTAATTATAATAGGGTTTTGGGGTATAATATACTATAATCATAATGAGGAACCAACAAAACCCTATTCTAATTGGTAAGGCCCTTATATTAACGTTAGAGTCGAGACTTAGTTTCGAGACCTACATGGGCACTCAAACTCAGGCAAGACACCATCTGGATGCTGCGGCTTGTCATGACCTCAGTTGCACAAGCAATTTGGGAGTTTCCGACAATAGGGGACCCTAATATAGTACCCTAAATAATAGGATCCTTTTTTTTAGAACCCCAAATAAGGTACCCCTAATTTTCGGAAACTCCCATTTCGCAACGCCGTCTATGCCTGACAACTCGGAGCCTTCTTGAGTTTAGCCCCCACTGTAGCTGACCAGGGCTTAGGGGTTTAGGGTTACTTTAGGGTTCCTTTAAAGGGTTACCATAAGGGCACTGCAGGGAGCGCCGAACGCCGTCAACCCTCGAAACAGGCCGTAGATGATAGAGGGCTAATCCTTCTGATTCAAGGTCTACTTGGAGGTTCATGGGGAGTTATAAGTAGGGTTATAAGTAAGGTAACTATAGTTATGACCCATATTAGGGGACTTATAACCCCACTTATAACTATCCCTAAACCACAAAGATCCCTTAAAGGAACCCTTAAGGGGACCCCATAACCCTACTTACAACCGCGCTTATGACTGCCCATGAACCTCCAAGTATTCCCCAGGCTTCAGGTTTCCGAGGAAATTCCTATAACACCCATGTGGGTCGTTGTCAAAATTAGGGCCCCTTTTTGGGGTACCCTAATTATTAGGTGCCGTATTATACAAGGGACCCGAAAAGGGACCCTAATTTTGACAAACACCCATGTGAAATCTTGAAAAATCCCAAGCAAACCCTTACAAATCCCGGTGCAGTCAGAGGCAAAGCCTATCAAACCCCACCTTGCACCTGACAGGAAACTCCCTAAACCCTAAACCCTGAACCCAAGACCCCGAATCTAGGGGCCATACTAATTAGAATAGGGTTTTGGGGTTTCCATGTTACAAGTTTACTAGGCTTTAGCACACAAACTCTACTCCCATTATCAAGGCCCCTACATTCAACCCTAAACCCTAAACCTGACATTGAATCCTAAACCCTAAGCCCTAAGCCTTACAGCCTAGCCGCCAGCTTCGGGAGCTCTCCGGCAGAGCCCTGGCCCAACTGGGTCCCAGCATTCCGGGCTTAGGATCTATTTTGGTTTTGGGTTTGGTTTGTAGAGATCTATGGGGCTCTTAGGGTTCATAGGGCATCTCGGATATATGGAGCTTTTCAAGGTTTATGGGGCTGGAGGGTTTACGGGGTCTAGGGATAGGAGGGTTTGTAGGGCTTCTAGGGCTTCTAGATTCTACGGTTTAGGGTTTAGGGCCCTAGAACCCTAAGAGCCCCATACATCCCTTAAGCCCTATACTAGCCAGGGCTGTTTTGGTAGGGCCTTGCAGGGCTCTCGGGCTCAAGCTGTTGGGACTCTCCTTAGAGCGTGGAGGGGACCTAATGGGTAGGTCATAGGCACTCTGAGGCTTGGAGCCCACCGATTAGAATAGGGTTTTGGAGCCCATTATACTATAATCATAATGAGGAAGCCCCAAAATAGAACTGGTAACTATTAAGGGCCCTATATTAAGTCTCCTGATTCTGGAGCAGGTTTTGGGGCCTTGGGGCACCTTGCAAGTTTACCATCGAAAAGATAAGGGCCCTGTTAGTTGAATAGGGCTTTGGGTTATATCGTCTCTAGAGGGTGCCGGAAGAAGCAGTGGGCTTTCTGTAGCGAGCTGCTGTCCTGGTCTGACTCTGTCTTTGACGGGTGTCGAAAAAACAATGGGCTTTCTATAAGGTTGTGCTGGTTGCGGTTATCGAAAGACAAAACTATACATCTCAGCGCATGCGGGCTGTCTGTTAGGCTGTCCCGGCGGGTGATGGAAGAAGCAGTGCATGACGTCCCCAGAGACACCAATATCCCCCAATTAAAGAATATACCTTAAGTTATATTAGGGATCTTACCATAATTTAAGGCATACTCCTGAATGAAGAGATATTTATTGAAGTCTAAACCTAGACCCTTATGATGGGAGGCCGAAAGGGGGGTTTAAGACTCTTAGGGTAGGGATTCCTTAATATGAACACTATCCTGCAAACGCTAATCCCTACTAAACCCCCATAAAGTAAAAGCCAGAAAGTTGGAATATGATTATCCTAAACCCTTTATGGTAAATTATAAGGTATCCTACCCTGAAACCATATTCCAACTTTCTGGAGTCCCCCATAGGCTAAAACCCCCTTTTGGCCTCCTATGATACCCTTATAGATCCCTTTAAAGGAACCCTTCTCGATCCCTTTGAAGGAACCCTAGGGATCCCTAGCCCCCCTGGGCTAAAACCCCTTTTAGCCTTGACCCTGAAAATTTTGAGGTCTCGGTCCGACTGTGCCTGCTTCCAGCGGAAGGCGAAGTTCACGGACATGCGCTCCGCCTTGGCATCTGCCTTGCACTCCTCGGACGTTTTAGAGGGCTTTTAAAGGTTTTTAGGGGTTATTGGGGAAGGTTTTTAGATGTTTTCGGTGGTTTTAGGGTGTTTGTGGCTTTTAAGGTCATTAAGTGTTTGTAGGGTTTTTTAGGTTTTAGAGGGCTTAGAGAGTTTAGGGTTTCAGGGTTTTAGATCTTTAGGGGTTTAGGGTTTTTAGGGTTCTAACTTTTTTAGGGCTTTAGGGTTTAGGTCTTTTTGCGGGTTGAGGCTTGTAGGGTTTGGGGCTACGGTTGATTTTGGCCTTCTGGTCTGGAGCTTAAAGCTTGCCATGCTTTTTGGGTTTCGGGCTTTGGGCGTTTTCCGGGGTTTTAGTATCTAAGGTGCTTTTGGGGCTTTTGGGGTGCTTCGGGCTTCTGAGGGCAAACATCAGAGCCCCGATGATTTTTTCAACTCGAGAGCTCTTCTGAAAAAAAACCCTTGCCAACGCTACATAAAAGCCCGTTGTAAACTAGGTCTTAGAAGGGGCCTCCACCCGGTAATAGTGACTGTAAGGATTATATTAGGGCCCTGGTATATTCCTATTATACCACGATTACAGGGTGGGGGCCCCTTCTAGACTAGGTGTCTATTTCAACAGTCAAAACTATTCGTGACTGGGCTCTATATTAAACAATAGGGAAATCAACATTTATCCCGAACCGATACCTCGTGAAGCAGCCTCATTTCATGGGGAGCGTCGGCTCTCATGGTCGTGAAGGTGTTGGAGTTTGCAACACTGACCTTCAGGCCGTAGAAATGCGCGCCTGGGCCGAGGCAGATCGTTTATTAGAATGGGGGGTTTCACCTGGACTTTTCCTCGGAATTTTAGAAGGTTCATAGTGTTTGCGCCAGGGGTTTGGTCATGTACGGTTTTGGGCAAAGGGGGGGTTTTGGTGGGTTTAGGGCTTCGGGCATTTTGCTGCAGCACGAGTCAGGCTGATTGCAAGCGTATCCTTGAATCCCAAGCTGCGGCGACGCTCGAGTGGAAGCTCGGCGCTGTGGGTGAGCGGTGCGCTGTAAGAGGACTTTCCAATCTTGAGGGTTTGTGGTTGCGGGGTTTGGGTTTTCAGGCTTCGGGTATTCCAAGCTAGGCATGAACTTGAGGCCTTAAAACTTGATGAGCAACTTCTTGCCCACTCAAGACAGCGGATATCGGAAGCCCCTTCCCATGGAGTGTTGTGTAAGTAGGCAAATCTTCTACACACCCCTTAGAACTATAATAACAAGAAGTTTTTAAATATTCTCTTGGGGTTTAAATGACCAAAAAAATAAAAGTCTTATGATGCCCGACAGAGGTCCAAGTACCGAGGCATAGTACCTGGAGGCCTCGAACCCTAGGATTTGGTTACTTGGACCCAATAAGTCAGAAACATCACAGCTCCCACTGTCAGATACCAGAAACCTAGGCCCTAAAAACAATAACGTTTAAAGTAATAGCGAGGCCTAAGCCTAGTAGAGTGGCCTTGATAATTAGAATAGGGTTTTCGGGCCCACTATACTATAATTATACTAAGGAAGCCCCCAAACCCCTAAAACCCCATTCTAATTACATAGGCCCCTACGCCTAAACCCTAAAACAGTCCGAGATGCTGATGTCCCAGGCCTTCACCTGCAGAATGTCCTGCAAGCTGCGCGCATATCGGGGCCTTAATATTTAGAGTAGGGATTCCTTTAAAGGTCTCGATATAAGGGGTTACTTTAAGGGTTCTATAGGGAATCTAATATCGCGGCCTTAATATTAAGAGTAGGGTGATTGCATGTCGGTTGTTACTCGGCTTTTTTGGAACATTGTCGTCCAAAACTAGGCGTGTTTCGAGGCTTCCTTATGATAGGGGAGTGTCCGAAAATGGGGGACCCTAATATAGCACCCTAGTAGTAGAATCCTTATTATAAGGACCCCAAAATAAGGTACCCCTAATTTTCGGAAACTCCCATAAGGATCCTTGTGTTCCAGGGTCTACAGTCGGAGCACTCCTTTACTTCCACTAGCAAGCAATCCGGGCCTTCAGTGGAACATGGTGTTTGGAGGGCTGTAGAGTAATTGCAGGGTTTTGGGGAGGTTCTTTTGCCGGTCGCATACTGTAGTTGCAGCCAAAAACTCTAAGCAATAGTAGTAGTGTTTTGCCAAGACCCTATATTGGAGCAGTCCTCGTCTGTTCGATTCAAGTCGCCCAGGGTCACGCGCACCTCAACAGTTGCAGGTTTTTGTTTGGTTTGAGTGTGTAGGATTGGAGTGTAGGGGTTACATCTTAAAATGGTGCACATGTGCGATGAGACTTCCTCATAGAAGTCAGCTTGGCCCAAAGATTCAGGGTGTTAGCACGACTGAGGAGGCCTCACGACTTCGATGCAATGCGTTTAGGAGTGAAGTGTCCTGGTTTAGATCGTCGGGTGTCGGGAAGCTAGGGCTTGGAGCTCGCTCCCGAATATCCCAGGGACTCCAATATTCCTTAATTAAGGAATATTCCTTAAATCATATTAGGGATCCTACTATAATTTAAGGAATATTCCTTAATTAAGGGATATTGGAGTCTCTGGGATCTCCACAACATGACGAGTCCCTCTCGAGCAATGCAAGAACCCCGAAGCTCCCTCTAAACCTGACATCCTACGCCAAAAACCCCGAACTCCAACCCTAAACCCAGAATTCTAGGAGGATCTAGAAAGTAGATCCCCTAATTTGGGGCCCTATACTACTCAGGGTACTTTCTGGGAACCCCCATGAAGGGATCTACTTTTGGGATCCTCCAAAGTCTGGGAAGCCGCAGAATAACGAAAAACGACCTCCTGAGAAGCAGACGTCCTCCTTCCGGAAAGAGAAATCCGAAAAGCTGATGTCCTGAGCTCGGGACGGAACTGGGATGGCTTATCTTACCTTTGGTTAGTAGGGAATGGAGGAATGCGGTAGAATTATAACTACTATTACTACCATTCTTCCATTTCCTACTACCCAAAGGTAAGGTATGCAGCGTGCGCGGGATGTAGGAGTATGGATTTGATTTACGATTTAGGACTTACGGATTAGGAGTTAGGACTAGCGGATTAGGATTTATATAAGGTTTAAGATTACATCGTACGGTTTAGAAGTCATTTAGAAGATAGATCGGCATTGTCAAGACAGTGTACCACTGGGAAACCACGTCATACATGGAGGCTGGATGGAGCAAGCAAGCAACCGCGGAAGTTCTTGTCATTGGCACAGATCTACGGAAGACTTTCATGTGTCCACCCAGAAGGATCACGAAGTTGGGCCATAACTTGGATAACCATAAATGTAATCTGAATAATATGGTTTCTTTATTCTGGTAACTTAAAGTAAATCCTGTCACAAGAACCCAGCTTGGGGTGTGTTTGGGCTCTTGTGGATGTTTTGGCTGCGCTAGCAGCCATATGGTAACTTAAATTAAACTCCTTAACAAGAACCCAGTCCAAGGCACACTGATCTGGTAGTCGCAGTCCTTGGTGTTGCCGGACACCTCGCGCCCAGGAGGAGAGCTGAACCGGTGTTAGGTTCCTCTAAAGGGCTCCTTAAAGGGTTCCCTTAAAGGGATCTACAAGGGTTCGATAAGGAGCCTAATGTACGGGCCTTAATGATTAGAATAGGCTTTGGGGCCCATTATACCATAATTGCAATAAGGAGCCCCCAGGCCCCAAATAGCCCAGAGACTCCAATATCCCTTAATTAAGGAATACTCTTTAAATCAGATTAGGGATCCTACTATAATTTAAGGTATATTCCTTAATTAAGGGGTATTGGAGTCTCTGGGAGTATAGGTAGTTAGGAACGCCCCTATATTGGGCTTTGTAGGGGTTAGGGTGTTGGAGCTTGTGGCTGTGGAGAGTTTAGCTACGTGCTACATCCCACCCCTTCCTGAGCCCTTTGAATGCAGATGGGTTCCCTTGATAGTTTTGAATAAGGGCTTTTGGGGGCATATTCTAGTATTACCATCAAAAGGAACCCTAACACCTTAGTTTCGAAGAGCCCTAAAGCAGCCCACATGAACCCGGGACCTTCTCGATCTGAATGGCCGGCAAGATCCGGAGGATAAAATCGAGACACGTGTCCTGATTTGTTTAAAGATTCCTTTAGCGGATTGCCTTTCTGAGGGTTCTACCGTATTTGTGTTTAGGTTTCGACGGTCCAAGGTTTGGGGGCTCCTACAGTCAATTAAAACCGGATTCCAGGAGGGTCTTGCGTGTTTGAGGTTCAGGTCGTTCGGGCTCTTTAGAGCTGTTCTTCAGCAGGTTCAAAAGTGTTCTGCACGGGCTTGACAGGGTTCAGGGCTTCAGGGTGAGATTCTGCCGAGGTCGCTGCTGATCTCAGTTCGGCCGCATTCTGTGGCCACCGAAAGGCCCAGGGGGCAGGCAGGGCAGGCTAAGTTTCAAGGCACAAGCCCAATAGGATTTAGGGGCCTTAACGCTTTTGGGGTTTGTAATCATGTGCATATACCCGCTATAGTACGTATCGTTTAAAGAGCCCTTTTGAAGAAACGTCGCTTGCCTGGTAACCCCTAAAGCCCTTAAACAGACAACCTACTTTAAAACCCTAAACCCTAAACGCCTTGACGCTAGCCCATGAAGAGCCCTTTGAAGGGCCTTTAATTGAAATCCGTATAGTGATCCCTATCACCCCTTTTGGAACCTTCTAGAGCCCCATAAAAGGAACCTTACTCTAAACCCTTGTAGTGAAATGTATGGCAGCTTTATAGGAGCCCTTTCAAAGGAACCTTACCCTACTTTAAACCCTACGCCCTAAACCCTAAACCCCAAAACCTAAATCCTAAACCCCAAATCCCAAACCCTAAATCCTAAACCCTTAGCCCTAAACCCCAAACCCTGAACCCCTGACCTTTAAACCTGAAGCCCCTATTGGAACCTCTTAGCACCCGGCCTTCAGTTGGTTCACGAGCTCTTCGCGCGTCTCCACGCTGGACCAGGCATCTTCGGCTTGCGCCAGGGCCTCTGAGGCTTTTCGGTGCTTTTACGCCTCCTTTGAAGCTTTCGGAGCCTGGAAGGGGCTCCCTTTAAAGGATCCTTTTCAGGGATCCCTTTAAGGGTTCCTTTGAGGGATCCCTTTAAGGGCTCCTTTAAATTGGAGCCCTTTAAAAAGGGACCAAAGGATCGTTTAAGGGATCCTTTCAAAGGCTATACTATAAGACTATGAGGGTTCCCTTTAGGGTTCCTTTACAGGATTGCTATACTTGAAAGCTTCCCTTTGTGATTTTAGGGTTTCCTTCAAAGGATAGCTAAACTATAAGAACTCCATGTAAGGGCTTTTCAGGTTTTCGGCGGTTCTACTCTCATCTGCTGTGCTGGCACATTGGCACCTAGAATCTTGACATGGCCGTGACGGGGACATCGGCCACATCAATCATCTCCTCTGTGTGCTGCCTCGGGCTTGGCAAGGCAACCGGCTAGCCCTGCATGTGCGAACCTTCCGTGCCTCTAGCATGGGCACCACGCCACAGCAGAAGTCACGCTTAAGGGCTTTAGAGTTTAGGGTTTTAGGGTTCTAGGCTTTAGGCGTTAGGACTGTGATGTCAGGGTTTGGGGGGTGCAGCACCTCAAGACCGAACATTCACCAGTAAAGCTCGCTACCCCGGTATCGAAAATCATGCCACCCACGCAACAAACCCGTAACATTAGGAACTCAGTTTGGCTTCTCTTCTTTTACATTTACAAGCGTGCATCGCAACCAAACACGTACTGATTTTAGGGTTCAGCCCCATGATTTTTATGGGGTTCGAGGGTTCACGCCCTCTCAAAAACTGCCGAAGGTGAGTGCACTCAGGGGGCAGCGCTTGAAGGAACCGCAAGTTGTCCGGATGTACAACCTGTGACTGCTTCGCGACGGTGTCTTAGTTTGATTGAGCACCTGGTCACTGAAGAAATCAACAAGAAGATCGCCTCCGCCACCTAAGACATATGGGTGGTTGCAAAATTAGGGTCCCTTTTTGGGTACCCTAAATAATAGGTGCCGTATTTGAATAGGGACCCGAAAAGGGACCCTAATTTTGACAAGACATGTCCTGTTCGGACTTTTCGGATCCACACTATGACTCCTGGATCGAAGGTCGATAGGCATGCCCAATATCCCTGCGCCTTGCCTGGCCTACTTGGAGGTTCATGGGCAGTTACAAGTGGGGTTATAAGTCCCCTAATATGGATTATAACTACAGTTACCTTACTTATAACCCCACTTATAACTACCCATGAACCTCCAAGTATCCTCCATCTGGCACGTCCCGCGGTGTTTCTTCAGGTTCTGCCTGGAGCCAGCCACCCCAACCGTTTGACCGAATTCATGTGAAACACAGCCTGGAACCGAACCTTTCTGGCATGGACATTCGATGAAGTCCTTCTTTATTGATGGGAGGCCAAAAAGGGGGGGGTTTAAGATTCTTGGGGTCGGGATTCCTTAGTATGAACCCCATTATGGGATCCATAATCCCCCATTAAACTCCCATAGGCTAGAACCCCTTTTGGCCTCCTATGATACCCTTATAGATCCCTTTAAAGGAACCCCTATAGATCCCTTTAAAGGAACCCTAGGGATCCCTAGCCCCCCTGGGCTAAAACCCCTTTTGGCCTCCTGTGATTTATGCTTCTCGCTCGAGCCTATTCGCGACGGAAGCCTGTGGTCTTCTGCGACCTGCTGTACATCATATACTACTTAAAGGATCATGGGGCTTAGTAGCTAGGGTTCCTTAAAAGGGCTCCTTAAACGGATCTATAGGGGTTCCTTAAAGGGATCTATAAGGTTTAGGGTTTAGGGTCTACTTAAAGGATCATGGGGCTTAGTAACTAGGGTAATAATTAGGGTAACTGTACTTATAACTACTTATAACCCCAATTAAGGTACTTATAACCTGACTTACTAAGTCCCAGGATCCTCCAAGTAGGCTCCTGACTAGCCCCTTCATGATCAAGGTACCGTTTGTCCTACTATTCGATTTTAATAAGGGGACCCTAAAAGTAATAAAGGGCAAAAGGGTGAGTAGGAAGGAACCTAGTATAGCTCCACAGACGCATGTAGAACCTTATCAGAGGCCTCATCCCCATCCAAATCTAACCCCGAAGCACAAAGCCTCGAACCGAGAGCCCTAAACCCCCAAACCCCAAACCCCTGAACCCTCCTGAACCCTGAAGCACCAAAACCATGAACCCAAAATCATTCTGAACCTCTTTCACACCTGAACAAAAGCCCTTCAAACCCATTCAACAGATGCCTTTCTTGAACAACAAACAAACCGAGAAATACCTCGCAATAGAACCGTGTAAAGAACCTAGCAGATATCCTGATCCCATGTACACATGCCCCCCGCATGGCGGGCCTCGCCGGGGTTAAAGTCGTGCAGTCTTCGCATGACTTCCCGCTCCAGGTCCTACGCAGCCCTAAGACCCAAAGCCGAACACCCACAACATTCTAAAGGGAACTCCAGAAAGTTGGAATATGGTTTCAGGGCAGGATACCCTATAATTTACCATAAAGGGTCAGGATAATCATATTCCAACTTTCTGGCTTTTACCTTAAATGGCCAAACCCCTGAAACCCCAAAGCCCTAAACCCTAAAGCCCTAAATCCTAAACCCGAAACATCACGAATACCTAAGCTCCATGTCATGAAGCCCGAGGAAGCTGCTTTCGTTGAGGTCCGCAGGCCCATTTAGGTTTAGGGTTTAGGGTTTAGGGGTTTAGGGTTTAGGGTTTAGGTTTAAAGCGTAAGGGAGACTCCAGAATCCCAGAAGCCTTAGTTGCGAGATGCTGATGTTCAGGTGCGCTTTTGCGCTTTTAGGGCTGCAGGAAGATCCAGAAAACCACATACCCGGTTACGTCAGGAAGATAACTTGAACGATGAATAGAGGCCTTACTAACATTAGTACTGTGGTTCACAGTGTACTGCTTTATTAGGGAGTGCCGGGCTCTCCGGGGATCCATTCAAAACGCTTGTGGAACCCGTACTTGAAAGACTTTCGAGTCATGTTGGAGGCCTCAAATGCTGGGGTGAAGGTAGGTAGGATTTAGGCGGATCCCTTGTATAAGGACTCTGTAGGTAGGATTATGGATCCCTTAGATCAGGGCTCTCATGTTTGGGATTACCAACCTACTTGGAGGATCATGGGATAAGTCAGGTTACAGGTACCGTAATTGGGGTTATAAGTAGTTATAAGTGCAGTTACCCTAATTATAACCCTAGTTACTAAGTCCCATGATCCTTTAAGTAGACCCTAAACCTTAAACCCCATAGATCCCTTTAAGGAACCCTATAGATCCCTTTAAAGAGCCCTTTATTATAACCCTAGTCATCCCAGCCCTGGAGCCCTTTCATCAGGTCTCCTCGCCCTCCAGGCGTCCCACCACGCGCGCGACGGCCTCCAAAGACGCTTGGAGGTCCACGGGTGGTTTTACATGGAGTTATAAACACCTAATATGGTTCATCTGGTTTATAGCTGTAGTTGCCGTACTTATAACCCACGTATAACTGCCCATGAACCTCCAAGCATCTTTCCAGGCTCTTTCCGGGAAAATTCTAACGCATACAAGGGTCTTGATCGTTAGAAAAGGGTTTTTGGGCATATTGTAACACGCTTTTATTGGTACTAGTAATGGTATTCGTTATGAGCTCTGGACTCAAATGTCCTTCAACCCTAAACCCTCAAGCCCCCAAAATGTGGCAGGTCACCCATGCATAAAACCTTCGTGCAGAACTCTGCAAGCCCCTGCCTAGTGGAGAACAGGGGAATAGGGATACTACTGGGGCACCAGGTGGGTGGTTGTCAAAATTATGGTCCCCTTTTGGATATAATATGGCACCTAATGTTTAGGGATACCAAACAGGGACCCTAATTTTGACAACCACCCAAGTAAACCCTCGGTAGTCTTTTGCCTGCTCCGATCCTCGCACTGGTCTCTTTGGTTTCGGTTCTCAGAACTTGCCCGTTGGAAGATGAGCCGAGAGTGACGAATGTTGCAAGGAATGCGCGCAAGCCTCGATCACCAGTGGAGCTCTGGCGTTGTTAGTGTGTTCACCGTAGTTCCTTCAAGCAAGCCACGAAAAACGTTAGTGTTGATATGAACTAACAAAATAACCGCGCCGAAACCCTGAACCTTGTATTCTCGCAACAGTAGTAACAAGCTAAGTCAGGCATAGCGCTAAGAGTTTAGCGTGTAGGTTTGTGGTTGTAGGCGGGGCCACTACAGGAGGCGATCTTTGGGCTCCGGGTCTCTGGCGACCGACATGCACCTGAACGTCATCTGTTGGCATCCACCCTTTCCTTGATGATCTTAGAACATGTACCTTGGGATGGATGGCAAAACCCACCTTTCCTCACCCCTAGTATAGAAACTCACGCAGTTGGACTCTTTTCATGTTCGGGGATTTACATAGCTCGACAAGTCTTCCGAGCCTTTTCTTCGTACTTTTCTTGAACCTTATGTGTACACTAGATCTTGCAGTATGCCTACAAGTATGTAGAGGTATGTATATATGTATATGTATATATATATATATATATACAGATGTATAAATATAGTTGTATATATATATATATATATATATGTGGAATTTTCTCCTTGATTTATGCATGTAGGGACTATAGGGAACTGTTCCCCTGAGCTCTTAGGTCACTCTCCACACAGGGGCGGGCAGCCGCAAAAATGGGTCAGGATGCCTTTGGCCAGCTCTGGTCCGGGCTGCAGCATGCAGCAAGCAAGGTGGACTCTGGGGTTCAGATGCTGGTTTTCCGAGGTTTAAGGGAACGACTCCGGCACCCAAAGTGGGGGTCCCCTTCGCGACTCTGTCTAATCAGGATGGGATGCATCAAGTGCTTGAAGGTCCATGTTCTCGTATCTATAGCAAATGATCATCTGGTGCCATGTCCTAGCAGCTATCACAGGGTCTAGATACAATGCAGCTGTAAAGGCGCCTATACATTTTGTTCTGACTGACTCTCGCAGCCATTTAGACCTACCACTGCAAAAGCATTGGTATGAGTCTATACAACTACTGTCATAGTATTACTCTTACTGTTGCTGCTGCCACTACCACTGCTACTACAGCTACTGCTGTCCGCACCACTACTTGTCGTTGCGACGAACCTGGTTGCTATGTTCGCCATCGTGTCTTTTTTGCTTGAAGTTGTTCTGATGGCGTTTAGTGCGCTTAGTTTAGGGAGTTCCGATGCGGGGCAGACTGGAGATTCCGGTGCATATTCCCAGTCGTTTCCAAGGGGTGATTATCTTAGCATCTCTCATCCCATCGTTCTCATAGACGGGAGTTGCAATACTATCTCCTTAAAATCCCTCTATGGGATCCCTATTCCAAATATTTGCCTCGCTAGAAACCCTAAACCCTAAACCCCTAAACCCTGAGCCCTTAAACTCTAAACCCTAAACCCTATTCCAACCATGAAAATCCCTCTAGATTTTTTGAAACCCCAGGGTCCTTCTACCCGTCACTCTCCAGTCGGAAGACCATCCTTCACTCTCTTGGATCGATCCGCGTCTGCCCAGACAGCATAATACTAATTGGAATTGGGTTTTAGGGTATATTATACTATAATCATATTGTAGTATATCATAACATAGAAGCCTTAATGACTCTAGGCTCTTGAGTAGGCCCTTTATAAGAAGGGTACCCTTTTTCCTACTGTTCGGTTTCAATAAGGGGACCCTAAAACAACAAGAACAAAAGGGTTCTACTCAGGAACCTTGGATCCATGTCTGCCCAGCCGGCTTCATAGCCCTGACTTTAGAATTATACACTTCGGGTTGTTTGGGTTTAGCCTATACCCTAAAGCCAAAACTGCAGAATGTAGAGGAATCGGTAGTATGATGTAACGTAGACTCCGCGGTCATGGGGCATTTGCGCTCTCTGGGTGCATGCTGGGCAAGGCTTTGAGGTTCATGGGCCGCCAAAGCTAGGATATGCAGGCTAGTTGTCTTGGAATTGGGCGGACGACTGCAAAGATCTGGGATCTTTCTGAAAGCTTCTGAGAGCCGGGTGTGAATTCTAGGCCACTGCATATGGACCTGGAAGAAGAGGTGCACTCCCGGAGCGGAGGGCATAACGGTCCCTGTTGGACACCCAGGACATCCAGGTCTTGTGGGCAAAGGAGAGAACCTGGCATAGTGTTGCAGTCTTAGTGAGCGAATCCTGCTGCCGCCACTTCATGTGGGCTCTCGCGCTGAACCCTAGACCCTTGGAGAAACCCAACTAAGGGATTCATGCCCCTAACTAGAGTCCGCAACCTCGCTCAACCTTATTAAGTTCAATCATCAGAACTCTAAACCCTCGAACCCATCCTCGGAACCCTACTTGGAGGTTCTTGGGGAGTTATAAGTGGGGTTATAAGTAAGGTAACTGTAGTTATGACCCATATTAGAGGACTCATAACCCCACTTATAACTACCCCTGAACCTTCAAGAAAACCCTAAAGCTTACACCCCAAACACTAGAGCCCCAGAACCTGCAAGCCCTAATACAGCGGCTTGAATTATGTTTTTCATAGGGTTGAGAGTGAGAGGATGCAGTCTATGACGAACACGTAGAGTTACATCAGAAACTCGGGGGAATACAGGATACTAAATTACTAAATGTCTGGCCCCTCACATCAAAGCTCAACTGCTGGCTCTTCGAAGCCACACATAAAATCCTACAAAGCCACTGCAAATCCTAGAATGACCTTCAAGACATGGCCGGATACATGTTTGCAAGTAGGATAAGACAGAAACTACGCTACCCCTGTACCCGCAAAACTGTATTCTGAGTCTATCTTAGAACTCGGTTACCAGATAAATACTAAATGCCCCCAACACCCTAGAAGCCTAAAGCCCACTCACGCACTAATCCCTAACACCGGAATATAGGGGCCTTTATAATCAGAATAAGGTTTTGGGGGATATTATACTATGATTATAAAAAGGAACCACCAAAACAGTAGAGGTAACTGTTAAGGCCCCTATATAAAAAAACCCTAAACCCATGAAGACTCCAAGGAACCGAAACGTATGCGATCTTGAAGGGCTGCGGAACGAGCCAGAAATTGACGACTTGTGCAGGCGTCCAAAACCTGTTGACGGCTTTTGGGAGCTTCGGTTGATGATATAAATCCTGCATTACCTTAAGAACCCTAGACTATTTTCCTTGTCATGGGTGATGCAGGATTTGTATCATCAACAGCTGCTCGAAGGGTAGTTGTAGAGTTCTGCGAAGGCGTCCTAGGGCTCCGTTGTAACGTTTAGGGGTGTTTGTCAGGGCTTGAGGGCTTCGAAGTCTAGTTCCGCCCAAGCCAACCAGCTGTGGCTGCTACACATGAATGCGCTGCCATCGGTTTTGATGTAGACAGACAGACATGAACGAAAAGGTAGATGCGCAGAATTTACCGAACCACGGGTATGTATGTGCATTGTTGTTTCTGCTGGTTCTTCCTACCCTACATATCTCATGTCTTGTATTTCTGGAATCTGCAGTGCGACCAGTTTCGGGGAATGGAGTTGCTGCTCATTCTATTCCCCCAACTCTTCATACCTAGCCAGACCCCCGGGAGGATCCAGAAAGTAGATCCCCTAATTCGGGGCCATATACTACTACGGGTACTTTATAGGAACCCCCCATCAAGGGATCTAGTTTTTGGATCCTCCCAGGGTCTGGGTACTTGTCGCATCTTAACTAGTTAGCATGATGATGACCATCATGATGCGGACGACTGTGACATACAAGGATCACGGGGTTCCAAAAATCCTCGAGACGACCTGCGACAACTCCTGTTCCTCCTGCTTCCATGACACATGACTGACCCATCATCCTTTTTGCTGATTCAAGACTATCCCTCTGTACTGTGTAGGTTGCTTCCCCGTACAAGCAATGTATCAAATCGCGACTTCCGCTGAGATGCCACAGTTTACCACGGCCTCGCATGGCTCCAACCGGACCACAAAATGCTAGCAGAACATATGCGCTTTGAAAACCCAGATCCCTTTTCGGGGATTGCGTTGGCATGACGTCTGTGCTGCTCTCCTTCTTTTTGGTTTGCTTGAACCCTAAACCTTAGATCCTATGTGGGGGGTTTCCGAAGATACGGGGGCCCGAAAAAGTACCCTAAACAGTAGGATCCGTCTTAAAAGGACCTCAAAATAAGGCACCTCTAATCATCGGAAAATCACTGTTGAATGCTGGCTCTCTACAGTAGTCCAAGATTAGGACAGTTGCTTGCTTAAGACCTAATATAGGGGCCTTGATATTGGAACAGGGGTTTTGGATGCTTACATTACACGTAATCATAAAAAACTTAACAATAGTACAGGTAATGTTTGAGGCCCCCATAGCAAACCTTAGACCCTAAATTGCACCCGACAGGCAAGGAGGAGCCCCG